ATTTCTACAATGAAATTACTAATTAGAAACGTTCACTATATGCATGCATACATTTTACATATAATCTATGCAGTTTAATTTACACGATCTCGGTTATTATTTAATACTTGTGAACTTATTAAGAGCACTCTTTTAACATTTTTAGACTTCTTTAAAAATAGACAAGAAAAATAACAGCTTTTTAATATTTAATTCATAATTAAACAGTTACAATGTAAGTATGTCTGCAGCTCTGAGTAATATTTTTTGTTTTAAAATTTTACCAGTAAGAACAAATATACTTTAATGCTGATTTTACAAAGATACCACACAAACAAATATTTAATGCACATATTGTTGTATAATAATTAAAATGCTAAACATACTGTAATTTAGTAATTAATATTCGTCTAATAGTATATATCTGCTAGAAGATTGTATGAAATAAAATGTCATGTAAAATTAAAGAAGACATTTTGCTCAACGGGAATTAAAATTCATAGTATATAAGTTCATGTTAATAGAATCCATTGCATAAAATAGCAGGCATACAAAGATGCTATTCAGAGATAAATCAGACATATTCTTAAGAATGATATTACGTAAACTACGGTAGTGTATATATAAATATAACAAATACGTATTAAAGTATATTTTCAAGGAATTTAACTATTTTTCTTACGAAATTGTGAAAAGACATTCTGGGGATTCATTAGCAGATTTCGCTATGCTTTAGCTCAGATGTTAAAAATGTAGTACAGAAGCAGTACTAATTTGTGCTGCTATACTTTCTAAAATGTATTTTCATACTAGTTTAAAATAAAAGATAATTAATAAACAAACAAAACATACCGGGTGGCCATAATTAAACTGACAGTGCTCACAGTGTTCTGCAGCGCGATCTATTTGCGAGAATGACGCCACATTTTGTAGGAAGATTAAACAAGACGGGGGACGAAGGGTTCCGCGAAAAAACAAATTAGTTCCAAAAGTCACCGATAGGAGAATATTTGGCGCTGTGTAATAGAAAATAGAGTGTTAACAAATGCAAATTAATGCAGAATAAAATTACCTTTTATAATGCATATTTTCTGATTTAATTCAAGTGCACTATGGCAACACTTTAAAAAATTGTAAAATCTACATAAACACCGATAAAGTCACGTGATCTGCAATATCACGTACGCTGAGCAGAAGAAGAAGTTCTTTATTTAAATTCCACGTTACATCCATTCGCACAGTGCCAGCTGCTTGGGTTTTAAAAGGCAATGTGTTACTTTTCGAATCAATCGGATTGAACGTTTATGTGCAATGTCTCCTTTTTTAGTCGAGCGTGCGTTACTGGTCAAATTCTTTTACCTCAACCAGTGCAACGCGTCAGACCGCTCTTCGTGCTTTTAGAAACTCGCACAAAAAAATGCGTAAAAGGTAACGGTCCTGTGTCAGTTAATGGGCTAAAAGCAATGGTGCGACGTTTGAGAAACCAGGTTCTCTGAAGGTTCAGTCAGGCAGAGGACGAAAACCTGTACCTAGGATACAATCAAAGCAGTTGCCACGGCGATTGTCGACAGAGGACCAGACAATATTGCTGCCACCTCTAGCGCTCGTGGAGTAGCTCGGAATATGGATGTGCCTTACAGTACGGTATGGAAAATCTTACGAAAGATTATCAACTTCTATCCGTACAAGATCAGCCGCGTACAGGAGTTACTGTACCCCGAACATGATAAGCGATTGACTTTTGCTTTCACCTTTCTTACCAGAATGGAGGTGGATGATGCTTGGCCGTGGAAAATCTTATGGGGAGACGAGGCCCACTTTTACCTGAATGAAACTGTGAATACCCAGAACTGCCGAATTTGGGATGACAAATCATCACATGCAGTCACAGCAATTCCCTTCCATTCACCAAAGGTAACTGTTTGGTGTGGGTTCACAGCGGAATTTATCGCAGGTCCATTTTTCTATGAGAACATTAACCCGACAGGACAGGAAACCTGTTCTGTTACCGGAGAGAAATATCGCCACATGTTGAACAGCTTTGTCATTCCGGCACTTCAGCAAAGACAATGCCTGGAGAAAATCATTTTCATGCTAGATGGAGCCCCTTCCCACGTTGCTGTAAGGGTGCAAAAGATGCTACGACAGAAATTCACAACAGAAAGATTTATTAGCCGCTACATTCCAACTGCATGACCACCTCGGTCGCCTGATCTTACCCTATGCAACTTCTGGCTATGGGGTTACCGTACGTCCAAGGTCTATGTAGGAGTGGTCCAGGACCTGGCTACGTTAAAGGATAATCTATCACGGACTGTACTTGAGATTCCTGCAGACATGTCACTTTCTGTTGTTGTGCATACTGAGCACAGAATGCAATATGTGGTCCACAACAACGGCAGCCACATTGAACCTCATTTGAATGCAAAATAAAAGGTAATTTCCGTATTGATTTGCATTTAACATTTTATTTTCTATAACACAGCGCCAAATATCCCCTAGCGGTGACTTTTGGAACTAATTTGTATTTTCGCGGAATCCTTCGTCCCCCGTTTTGTTTAATCTTCCTACAAAATGTGGCGTCATTCTCGCAAGTAGATCGCGCTACAGAACACTGTGAGCACTGTTCAGTTTAATTATGGCCACCCGTTAGATTGTACATCATTAATATAAATCCATTTTTTGGTAAATACGTGTTCCAGAGAGCTAGGAAAGTCAATTTACATTAATGAGTTCCATAAGAATAGAAACATTTATCTTTTAATGTACATATAATAGCAATGAAATTCAAAAGCAGTTCGTGTAAAATAAAATTCGTATACATTCATTTGAACGAGATTTGTGATAATGCGCATCTGATGCGTAATCACTATTTATAATATCCGAGGCGAACACAAAAAGAGAAAAGGAAGCATCAGTCAGTCGGTAACATAAAATGAAATTTCTAAACGTAACCTTTTTTTAGTGCAAAGAGGCATTATCCCAGAAGGGCTATTGGTCTCGAAACAGCATTTTTCATCGAATCACTAAAAGCATTCAATCGCTTTTCAAATTGTTGCCATCAAATATTATCACCCTGAAGAAATTAAATTTAAATGAATTATTATTTAAATTTTCCTTATTATCCTACTTAAAGAGATTAAAGAATGAAGAATGAGTATAAATGTATGTACGCTTCTCGCATTATTAAAATGACGGTACCTAGAGCCATCAAATTTTAAATATCGTAGTCCTCTTCCTGAAAATGGGCAGCCGGAAGACGGAATTTTGAATTCGTTTTATTATCTTGTTCATATTTTGTGAAAAATTAACTAATTTGTGATTAAAATATTCAATGATTTCGAAGCGAACATTGGCAACACTGTACGGAATAAAACACTTTTATCTCCTGCCAGTGAGACTGTCTATCGGATATTCTAAAAATATGCTGTTTTCAAATATTTTTAGTCCAATGAGCCGTTGCCCGAAATGCTCTTGGAAAGACTCTCGAAACGTGTATATGTGTGTAAATGAAGGGGGCGGTAACATAAAATCAGCAGTCTCTCTCTTTTTTTAAAAAAAATTTTAACGGAGCTTGCTTGCTTTATGCGTCTATCATTCACTACAGTGCAGTCTATCATTCGGCTTACCGACTGTTACTGTTCATGCGTATATGCCTCTGCGTAATGTGTCTAATTTAGCAAACATTATTGCAGTATTTAAAAGCTGAAATCTACTCAAATACAGAAAGAATGAAGGAAAAAAAACTTTTTGTATCGATGAAGCAAACATTTTTATGCATTCAAGACACTGGATAATGTTGAGGGTAGCTGACGATTTTGAACGGATAACAGCAGGAGAATTGGAAAGGAAACGAATAGAAATGGAAAAACAATTTCCATCAAGAATCATTAAGCATGTATTAAACGAAAGAATGATTACGAAAAAAACTTTTTCTATGCAAAACTTACTGAATCTCTGTATATTATTAGGTTTGTATAGTTTGGTAAAAAAAACAACGTGTGCCTGTTTTATAACAAATGGCGTAGAATTGGTAATGATTTCCATGAAGGAAACCCAAATTTCAGAGCATGCGTCTGCTGGCCCGACCGCTAAAGGAAAAGCTAAGTTATCCGACATTTAAATGTTTCTCGTGAAAAATATCAATGAATTTTGCAGAAATGGAAGCATTCAAGCAAATCTTCAGAAATTAATTGAAGCTCTAAACATAACGGATAATCAAATATTCAACTGTGATGTGTAAGGTCTTATTTACAAAATGTTATTTAATGACACAAAGTCTTGCATCCTGAAGCAGCAGCTTTTGGCTGTAAGCGTAGTAAGAAATCGTTGACATTTTTAGCAATTATTTTCGGAGTTGAAGAAACTTAGGCTACTTACCGTTAAAATATTCGCAAAAGTCCACAGCAAAAAAAGCTATCCCTAAATCCAAGCTAGAAGATTGAATTTTAAGTTACAAGTTCTTAAGGTTTTCTGAAATACGTAAACACTTCCTTTTTCCAAGTTGCATAAAATCGTTCACTTTCTGTCAATGCTGCCAAAAAATCTCCGAATCAAATAGACTTTTCCTTAAAATGCATTACTTAATAAAGACAAATTACGTATGTACAGTAAAATTTAGAACTTCTCAATTGAATCTTGATTTAAAGTAAACGATTCAGGAAATTTCCAGAATTTGATTGGATTATAAAAGAAATTTTAATTTAAAATGTATAATACACATTTTATCCAGTTGCGAACTAATTATTTCCATCATTATTTTATTTCTGATATATGCCCCTTCCGAAAATTTAATTTAAATCTTCTATTGCAAAATGTTTTCCACAAGATTTTCATATAAACCCAAGTTTCGAAATTTTCACTATTTACCCCGCGACTGCTCTGCGAATTTTGCCTTTTCCCCCAAAAAAAATTACTGCTAGAATTACTGCTCAGGATGTCAGATTTAACAAGAAACGATTTCACAAATGAACTCTGCAGAGAAAAAAAAAAAAGACTGCACATATATATAAACAAGATACCTTCAGCTTTTCTCCACGTTAATCTCGGAGGCGGAAATCCTTCCGCTTCGCAGTCAATCATTACGCTCCGCCCTTTGATGACGTCAACATCATTTGGTTCCGACTTCCACCGCGGAGGAACTGAAAGGCAGAAATACAAATACTTATTAGAAAAAATATGAACCTTGAATTTTTATTTTTATTTTTTTTTTTTCCTCCAAGGATCATTTTCAAAGGCAAAAGAGCATTAAATACCTATTAAATGTCATTATTAGCCCATCCAAACCATGCCCACAGAGACTAAAACATGTCTTTAGAAAGTAATCATCGCTCGTTCACATTTTATATCGACAATTAAAGAGATTTTTATAATGGCATTTTCATGTTTTCATTTTAATTAGAAATGAAGATTTAATTGTAGCGAAAAAACACTAATAGCATAAATTATTCCTTTCATTATTATATTTATTTTTTTATTTTTAGGCAACAAATTACATTTCTTTTGAAGAAACAGGCTCTTATTTTTAAGAAATTAATTACTGAATAACATGCAGCTAATATTACTAAAAATATCATTCATTAAAGTGTATTAAAATATATAATATTCTTATAACTTCAACTATTTTCCACCCTGTTTTGAAATAACTAAGTTTTATAATGGGATTTAGAAAGTAGAAAATAAATAAATATGCAAATCTGAGGAAATTTATATGAAAATAAAGTTATTTATTCTGTTTATTCATCAGTAAAGGAACTGAAATGTTTTTATAAAGAAAATTGATGTTCAAGAGCACATAATTCCCTTTTCTAACAAAAGTCTCTCAGAGCCGGAAAGATAGTACTTTGTCACCATAAAGAACCGTTAGCACTTGTGACGGCAGTAGAACATTATCTATACGGTCGCAATTTCTGTTGCGCATTGATCATGCACCATTAAGGTACTGAATATCGGGAGTCTAGAAGTTCAAATGTATAGATGTATGGGTATATGAATATTATATGAAAATTCGATACCATAAAGCAACTGAGCATTGCAATGCTGTCAAGTGAATCCAATGTCGTATTGAAAAGTACAAGCGCTCAAAGCCGAGGAACTGTTCAGAAAAAGTATAAAAATGTTCCAGATATAACAAATTAGCCCAGGTTCAATAACATCAGTGACTGATGCCTGGAGCAGCGAAGAACTGAGAAAGCACCAAATAGAAAATCCTCAATTGGACAATCAATTAATGGAAACTGGGAATGAAAATTGAGCTGGCAAAAAATATGACTCTTTAGTCGTACGACCAAGATATATAGGAATTTATAAAATTTTCTTCACCTGCAAGATAAAATATAGTGCAGCACATAGGAAGTTGACGCAGAAATGAATTTCAAATGGCAACTTATATTACCGAGATTTCGATTCCCTCATTATGTGACAGCTTCATATTAGCTTTAAAGATGTCCTTTCGATTTAACGAAGACACTCCATAAAGTTCGTGAGCGTTTATTCTAGGGAAAAACAAAAGCAGATGTAGAAACGTGGTGGTAATTCTGTAATGCATGCAGAGCTCAAAAACGCCCACACCCACATAAATGAATAAAATTACAGTGTTGCAGTGTAAGAACGCCATTCGAAAAGACTGCTCTGAATGGCCTCAGTAGATAACTTATAGAAATAAGGGAAGCTAGCACACCTCAGGTGGCATGGACCATTTATTGCTAGCAAAGACTTCAGAACAAAATCTCAATTTAACGATTTTTTTCAATTTAAACAAATTATCACAAATTTCCAAACTTTTCTATTTTTGAATTTCTTAAAAATTTCTCGGCAAAGGAGACCAGCTTTCGTTGATTAATTAGTCTGTGATTATATTAATGATAGGTCTGCTATGTTTTACTTTGCTCTAAATAACCGCGTTTAATGACCGAATGAGTTTTATTAGAGACCTTTAGAAAGGCAAATTATAAAAAACTCTTAGGATAAGTAGGAAATGCTGAATTTTCATTAAAAGCAGTAATTGAATGTGATACATTTGCTCTTACAGAATTAAATTTTATAATGGGATTTATATGAAAATAAAGTATGAATAAAGTATGAATACTATATTCTGGAAGTGAAGAATGGAGTTTTAAAATCTTAAATATGGACAGGACATCTTCTAATCGATTTCCGATCAATATGAAGTCAATCAATCAAGCTACTAAAGGTTATCAGTATCGAATTTATCTATATACGATATATAATAATTCTGAAGGACACAATGGATCCAGTACTGAGAAAGATAAGGAAACATTATATTCGCAGACGATTTCCTAACCTTCAGATTACAAAAAAACTCCCAATAATGTGTGAAGCAGAAAATGGTTTATTTAACCCTTCTAAAAATTAAAAACCAGTTTCAGGAGAAAAATATTTGAGGGAAACCCTATATTTTTTAACATCATATATATTTTTCTAAATATTAATTTAGTACTTAAAATAATAAAAAGAATATGTTAATCATTAAAATTTCTACTATCATACACTTTACCAAAATCTTTCTAATTATTTAAGCGCGTACATTTTGTGTTTCGATGCACAGTTGTTTACGCATACGTTTGTATTTCGATGTATGTGCTTCTATGTATATACATATGGTATAGTTTTGTATTTCCCGATTTAACGAATAATATCACTTTAGTACACTTTTGTATCGATCATTGTAGAAGTATTAAGTGTATATTTTATTTTTGATGAAAGCATGAGTGCCTAATTAGGATGTAAACATAGCACATGTAAGAAAAGATAAAGGAGCATTATCTTTGCCATGTCGTAGAATGCATACCATGAATTACCATTGCTGCGCTGTGTCTTTCCGATCCTGCCTCGTTGCTTGCTATACAGGTGTAATTAGCTCTGTGTTCTGGCTTAACAGGATCAAACAGAAGCGTCGAAGAATAGTCAGCTAGGTTGTGAATCCTTACATCTCCATCTTTCTTTAACACGTGATCGTCCCTCAACCACTTGAGAGTAATGGGTGGATCACCTTTTATTACTGTGCACGTGATGCTCAGTCTTTGTCCCATTTGAACAGATGGAGGAAGATTGAAAGGTTCAATTACTGGACGAACTGAAATGGAAGCACAGAATAGCAAGAACACAGAATAGAAGCAGTAGCATAGAGTATAGATAATTGCATTAAGCTGTGTAACTAATCGATTAAGGAGCCAGTTTTCAGTTATAGAAAGCTGTATTTTCTGAAGTATTCAAAAGAAAACCTTTATCACACGTCATCATGAGTTTCATGCAGTACACTGATTGTTTAAAGTAATATAAAACTGAAAAATGAGTAATGAGAATAGTTCTTTATGCCCCAAAATATACGGTATTTGGTATACTCCAAAAACACAGTAACTTTAGTTGTGTTTTGTTTGAATAATATACTGTGTCAGAGGAAAGGAAAATCTAATCGACGATTAACTGCTTCAACAAATCCAAATCACGCAAGTAGATGCTGCATTCGCCTCGAGAAATTTAAAACGGAAAGCTTGAAACTGAACGTCAGCAAAAAGTACTTTAACCGATTTTTAAGCACAAAAGTGCATTTCTGTATCATAAATAGGCCAGACAATGCGTGGTAGAGCCAAATATATGTGCCAGGAAGCTGTACTGAACCTTTTTAACCATGGTGAGATTCAGATTTATTGAATGTGGTTGGTTCTCCTATGCAAAACACATCCACTAGGGTGGCTACATCAATCACTGTACAACTCGCTTCTTTGACCGGTCATCAGATATGACTGTTCAGAAACCGCTACATATACATACCGCTACATATACGTATGGGTCATAATACGGTGTACCGTCTCAACATACGATATATTAGATTCCCGTTTTAATATGATGACGAAGGCAGTGTTCTTACAGGATAAGGAAAGGGGCCAAGAACACAATAGCAAAAGAATAATCTAATAATTACCGCAGGAAATGAAAAATGACGACCTTTAGATAAACAGACAGTGGCATGAACCAGACGCTCCAACCAGTTATACCGCAACAGAATCTTCAGCCATGCTGCAAGAAATCTTTTCAATATAATCATTTCGCATGATACTGATTTCGTTTTCCTCCTCAATGCCTTAACCTTTCACCACGCGTTGTCTGCTTGTCAAGAATATTAAAGAGAATGTGATCAGCTTTAAAGATCTGCCAAGAACACTGCATTTATTATACAAGCAAATTGCTTACTTTTGCAGGAGTCTGCAGTAACTTTTGTTCCAGGATATGCTTTAAAAAACAACGTGAACGATATGAAAACTACTTACATAAAAGTGTTACACTTTTCGAAAGCTTACATTAAGCATACCACGGTAAATGAACTTGCCAGTACTATGTACGCTATTTTCTTTCAAGAGATATGATTTTGCAGATGATAACAATATAAATCTTTTCATTTTGATACCGTATATTTTGGTGCCTATGATAGTCGAAGTGGTAGAAGCAACAGCAGTAATTTCAATAGTAAAAGAAAAGAGCATAACAATATAAATTTCGCTAATTTTACGCTGAACAGTGCTGAGTGGAAGTGCACTGTTATTTTGTAGCACCTCATGTCCGAACATAAAAACAAGCGAGTTTTATTTTAATTTAAAAAAGATGAGTTAAGTTGTTAGTGAATGTAAATTTAATATTATATTAAAGACATGACAAAATAATAATATATATTCCTATACAAGAAATGCATAACAATTCTTTGAATATTTAAACTTGAAATACATAGGAAAGCAGTCATCGCTTTGAAACAAGGGACAAATCAGAATACTTGTAAGCATATAAAGCCTATTATGTGCATCTTAACTTATTTCGTACACATTTCATTTAACCCAAGACTTGGAGACAGTATATTGAGTTATAGCAGTAAATGAGTGTAATCGCATATATTACTATTCTTTCTGCAAACAACAAAATTGCTATTCTCAGATACAGTTCAATTGGCTAACAAATATTTGCGCGACTTATAAAGCAAAAAACTCGCGGTGGATGTAAATCACAGTAAATTTGGAAGTAATTTTGTAAATATGGTTGCAAATAGCATAAAGGTTATTTTATTTTTAATTTTGTTTAAACATTTAATATGGAAATATTTACTTCTGCTTGAATTCAGTTTTTAGCTTCTTACTAGAAATGAATGGCGAATTTTAAAAATACTGTATTAATTAGTACTGTTTATTTCGAAATCTAAATACATCGATGAGCAAATGTTTTCTTAACATTTTTTTTCGGATCAAAATTAAAGATTTTGTAGAGTGTTTAGATCAAAGAAATGAATCAATAATCTATAATATACTTTACAGTTCGAAAATTAGATATATAATATATAACATTATATCAGACCAAAAGTTTGAAATTTTGCAAGTTTTTTAAAGTTGCAAGTTTTTGCATTATTATTAAGCACTTTTTAATTATTCTGAAGTACAGTATGACTGTAATCAATCAAATTTCATTTGCTCTGAAAATTAAATTTCCAAACCTAGTTTGGAATATAATGTAATTATAATTATATGTTTTATAATATATTCTTTATTTCCTGAAATTAGACACATACGAGCTTTTAAACTAATTTTCCCTCCATATAGATGCTATTATGTTTTATAATGTAATACTGTCTTCCCTTTATTTCAAATAAATTATTAAGTCTTTTAAAAAATTATAGCTTTTTAACTAACATATTTTTCAAAAAATTGGAGTAGTAGTTGCTTACTTAACTGAAATAAAAAAAACAGCATTATTACTGATGATATACGAAAGAAAATAAAATTTTTATTTATATTAAATTTGATGAAGAGAAAGCTTATTCGAAAGTTGTTTTACTAATGGCACCTTTTGCACAACTTCACACAAAATTTCTACCAAAAGTGCCATCAAGTACTTATCACATTCAATAAATAAAATATTCAAGCTGATTTTAAAAATGTCTTCTCCGTAACAGAACGAAATCACTAAGCACATATTGAGAAACTATCGGAAAAAGTTAATGAAATTTTCCAAAATAGTGCATCAAAATTGAGAAAACACGTGGAAAAGAAGTTTGCATACTTCTAAAACATTGCAGAGTGCATTTTTTTATTTTTGCTTACATTTTTCTTTTTTTGTCCTTACATAGCTAAGATTAATACTATTTTTTATTTAAAAAATCGAGAACGTTAACCATTTTAAAGTATGGAACAATTTTCAATAAAACATATCTATTTTATTCTGCCGATTTACAAAAAACAATATTTTGTTTTATTTCTGAATATTATGTATAGAAAATTTTATATAGTGGAAACAGAAAATTTGTATTTATTAAGAAGTTTATTTCCTTTTCGGTCAATAATATTTCTCTTAACTAATTTTGAATTCTTAACGCATATTCCCAATTAAAGTTACAATTAAGAATAGGATGAATGCAATATTTTTATATAAATTACTTACTTTAAATATAACCATGATTAATTTAAATATAATTGTAATAATATCCTACAGCTAATAAGATATCTCATTTCATAAGAAATTATTCTCTCTTCCAAATAATTTATTCCATATTTAATATTGAAAAACTGTGGTTTACCTCACAGAGAGCAATCATAAGCAATTGCTTATACAATTGACTTTACTCATGTACAGAAGTATGTGTTTCTATTTACTTTATTCAAGGAGTAATTTATTAATATAAAATTATATGGGAGATAAATATGACATTTATCATTATTTAACATTTGCTTTAAAAACTGAAACCTATTTCTGCTATTCAGAAAGAGGGCTTTACGTCAGTAAAGTATGTATGATTATCAGTCATATTCGAAATCTAATCAGTTCTAAACAAAATGTATGCCAACCTTAAGAGAGATTGATGAATTTTAGATTATAAATTAAATACGTTTTTCAGTTTATTAAACAGTTAGACTTTAGTTTTTAAACACATAAAAAAATAGGAAATGTTATGCATTATTTGAATTTATGACTTTTTGTTTAAGTTTATTGCTGAAAATTTTAATATTCAGACAGAGAGAAAATATACGAAATTCTTATTTAAGCAGCAGAAATATCTGCCAATGCTGACATTATCCCTTTATTATTAAGATGACATTACTTATAATGGGTAGATTTATTATGTATCTTTTGTGTTCATTATGTATGATTGTTCAGCTAACAGTTGATGTCTAGTTGCACGATGTTGTGTTTTCTGTTTGCTTTAGGGACTGCTAAAAGTTGTTTCCAGTTGAGGTTGAGATGACTAAGATTCTGGCATGTATATATAGATATTGTTACGATTTTCCCAGCCGCAGTAAAAAAGCTTCCCCGAAAAGCGAGTTTAGTGTTGCCAGATTTGGCGAGAAATCTCCCATTTGGCGGAAAAATTAGCCATAGACGGAGCGAGAGCATTCTGGAGCGAATTCTTACCGGTTTGCCCCAGATGTTCTCGAAGGCAGGTCAAAGGCTATAAAAACCCTGCTTGTACGGGGAGCAGGAGTGTATCATTAGTTCGCGAAGTGTATCTTGAGTGTCTTGAGCTCCGAGAGCGATCGACCGAGTCGGGAGCTGTACTTTAGTGCCTTGCCGTGAAGCTGTCTTCATCGTAGCCTAATAGCCTGAAGGCTGTGCTGATGATTGTTTCAGCGTGTTTATGGTAGTTTTATAACGGCTTTGAACTTGTGTTTGGAACTATCCTGTGTAATTTTTGTTTTAAAGTTTGTTTTTGATTCTTCATCAGACGTTGTCATGAATCACTCCAAATCCACGAACCGGTAGCACGCAACAATATTTTAACGACCTTCCTTCAATGACATGAGCAGTCTTCTATGATGCTTTTATTAATTCTATCATTCATGCCTTTTCAATAAGTGAAATCATTTAAAGAAACTAACCATTTTATAAAACCTTCGCAGAAATATTTTTTTTTCGAAAAGTGCTATAATATTTAGTATGTGTCCATTAGTAGCTTGTAAAGATTTAAAAATAAATGTCTGTCAGAGTATGCTCAGGTTGCAAGTTTTGCAGCAGATTCTCTGCGATGGACACTTGAATATATGAAATGAAATTGCATATTCTTGTGATTTAAAATATTTAAATTTTGCTTTTGTGGCATCCCGAAGACCAAGTAGCGTTCCCACTGGAAAATAATCGGAAAAGGGAGCTGGACCGCTCTGGAGCTAAGAATACACTTCCCGTTTCCTCCCAAGCCTGAGTTCAGCGCTCATATGCCTTATGTAATACGTTGCCGCAGCAACCGTAACTATATTCTCACTACGTTGCGAGGCTACCTGGATGCTGCATGGACAGGAGAGCTAAGCCAGGTTCCCATAACTCAATAACTGGAAATATTCAAAAACATTTTTGATTTTGTTGCAAAATTAAAATTATCCTCTACCAGGATGCATATAGTATGCAATATGTACGGTATTTTATAAGAATTGGCACTTCTAAATATCTCTGTAATGATTGGTCTTCAACGATTAACGTTAATTTAATACTGAATCAAACCATAGTCTTTCATTCCATAATTTGGGTAATAGGACAACTCGTGATAATGATTTGTGAAAGTTAGATTTTTATATTGGCTTTGTAGTAAAAGTAATTTTCAGTAATAAAGAAATGTTCTGCAACTTAAATCAGAAAAATTCCATTTTTATATGATGAATATTAACTGAGATATCATTAATTAAAACCGAGGGGGATAATCGTTGAAAAACCTGTACATTTTATTATTTCAAATAAAAGTTTCTGAAAGATATAATTTACGTCATCAAAATATTTATATAAAAGCATAGTATGTGGAAATATAAAATTCGAAGTTTCATAGGAGAAATTTTAATTCTTAATTGCTCTTAAAATGGAAATTTTGGTCTATTTTCGGTTGGAAGGGGGAATTAATTACTTCATAAAATTTATAATTTGTTTTATTAATTTTAGGAGAAAAATAATTACTTTATAAAACAATATTTTTATTAAAAGAGCTATAGTAGGATAAGAAACAACTTTTCGAATGGAAAGTTTTTGTTTAGAGGGGGTAAAATCTTTTATCTTTTGTACAAATAGTTGCTGTAAAATGATATTATGTGACAAAAATTGTAATATTTTATAAGTTTAAATTTTTGAACCCGTGTATTACGTTAAGAGACTTTGTCTGCGATTAATTATTCAGGACAAATTTAGAAGTGCTGTTTTTTTTAAACGTACCGTACACGTTTTTTTAAAGGCAGCATATACTTCGCGAAATTAAAACCAAAATAGTATTGAAAAACTTCATCTTAATTTTCTTACCTGTATGATTTATTACAGGCATTGTAGTTATGCATGCCAGAAGATATGCCGCAGTTTCATTCTCACTGAAACTTTTAACTAACTTATATAGCTCTCAAAGGCAAGCTTGGGGACTCACACCTTAAAACCCATAAGATGTTCGAATAGGGGACTGTCGCAAGAATTGGGATAACTTATTTATTTTAAAAGCAATTTCTACCAACTTTTTACAGCTGACTACATAATATAGCTGCTTTCTGAAATAGTAATCAGAAAGTTTGTGTTGCCACAGTTATTTTTATAATTTAATCCGCTTTGTGACAAAATTTTTCGTCTTGTTTTCAACTTGCGCGCACATTTTAAAACATTTTATTTCATAATTTAATTCCATATTTAATATATAGCTTTTATACTATTTGAAAACTACTGTGAACCTAAAATTCTAGAAAATTTCATGTTAAATTTTTATTTTATTTGGAGTCGAGTTTATAAAATGTATTTTATTAAAAAAATTTGTAATGTTTCCATCCATAAAATTTTTCAATACTAAAATATTCATCAGATTGTTGGTTCAGTTAGAAAATAGTGCCCATATAAAGAATTCCATCCAATTTCAAGTATGTACCATTAGCCATTTTTAAAATATCATGCGCGCAAGATGGAAACATGGCGAAATATTTTGTCACAAAGAGGATTAAATTACAAAAATATTTGTGGCAACACAAACTTTTTGGTTACTAGTTTCCAAAGCAGCTATATTATGTAGTCAGCTGTAAAACGTTGGAAGTAATTGCTTTTAAAATAAATAAAATATCTCAATTCCTGCAACAGTCACATATTCGAAGATCATGAGGGGGTTTAAGGTGTATGAGTCCCTTTAAATAGTACTCAATTTAATATTATCTACTTTCGTAATAATTAAGGGATTGAAAATTTCGGGCTCATGATTTTCTAATCCAGAACTTTTCAAATTAATTACATAAACTTCCAAAATGGCGTTTCAAAGTCTTCCATATCTAATGCGTAAACCATTTGTATTCCTTTTAAGCTCTTACCCTAATGCTTAGCAAGAGAAACATATAGCCATGCATCAGTGAAATATATACTGTATCCTCATGAGGTTTAGAAAGGAAATAATTCTATTACCTCTTACAGTAATGTAAACACTGCCTCGAGCGCTTTCTCCTTCCTTATTCCTCAGGGTGCACGTGTAACGACCTTCGTCTACAGTCCTTTCTACCTGCCGTACTAGGAGGGTCCCGTTTGGATACACTGTTTGCCGATGGTTATCTGGCAAGCGAACTCCATCTACGTTAGGGAATAAACACAGAAATATTCTACATTCAAGAGTCATAAAATAGGAACTGTAAAAGGAAATAGTTTATCCAAAGAATATTTCAGTTATTTGCAAAATAATCAATTGTAAGGAAGAGAAATAAATGCGTTTGAAGCAGGATATTGCAATAGCAAAATTTTTTACTTATAAGTCGCTACTTATAGAGAAAACTTGAACTTACCAACATGAATTTAGTTCAATCGCCTAGAATATTGATCTCCAACTGGCGGCCCGCAGATCGCATGCGATCGCAAAAGCAATTTTTTGTGACCCGCCAATATATTCCCCGTAAATCAATTAGAATTATTATGAAAAGAATTAGAAAAAAAAATATCATTTTAAGCTTGGAATCCAGTTTTATGTTATTTTCACTAATAAAAACAAAACTAAGTAATTCTCCTGAAAATCTTCGTATCGAGTTTATTAATTTGACTATATAAATCTTATTTCAAGGTTTGAAGTTTCAAATATGATTAACTTTTATGAGTACTTGACAAAATATAAACATCCTCAGTTACGAATTTTTGCAATAAAAGTATTTGCTTTATTCGGGAGTATATTCGCATGTAAACACTTTTTGTTGTTGTTGTTGTTGTTTTGTCGTAGTTTCATAGTTGAAAATTATTATGTCTACCAAACGAATCACACTTCCGATGGGTATCTACAATTTGTGATAAAGGTATACCTTGAAAAAAAGGGGGGGGGAGATTTCTATATCTCTCGTTCTACTGGACCGAGTGTCGAAATTTAATTTGCGTTTTCCATGTCCCGAAAGCGCGACTTATTAGATATGTATATATATATTCTAACACAGGTATTTTGACACAAATTTGGACATTTTCTGAGATAACATACTGTTTTTTTTCATATTTCGATTCTACGATTAATAATAATGCCTAAATATTCAATATTATAATTTCTGGTGGGAAATTTATGGAGAAACTTAAAAATTTATCTCGGTGCATTTTTGCTTTCAGTTTGCACCAAGAATAATTCATTTAGTGAAATTCTTAATATATAGTAACCTATTTTTATCCCATTTTTCATTATGCACAAGCGGAGAAAAGAGTTCATTCTTTCAAATAAATTTAACAACGTGCGCAAAGCATATTTGGCTTATTATCGTTTATAATGAATATGCCAAATTTCAGAATGCGCCATTATATAAATTAATGTATATCTTTGAAACCTTTGATTAAAGAACTCTAATTTTTCACAGGTGTGCTTAAGAAATACATCTACTTTAAGATGATGGTAAAATTTTATAGATTATAATTCATTTTTTTTTCGAAAAATTTATAAAAAATATTTAAAAAATACAAATTTTAAAAATAAATCATAAAAAATCGGCGAATTTTATTTGGAATGAACCTAAATTTCGAAACGTGAAAGGAATAATTAAATAAGTTTAATAAAAAAGAGATATTAATATTAATAAATGTATACCGAATTCAATTAACATGGAGGAGCTAAAATTTTAAGAGCGAATTTTTAAAATCTACTTTCGCGATTTTTACAAAACTTGGCACTTTGGCATAACTTGAGTCGTAGAATGCAAATAATGAAAAGGATTTGTATATTAATCTAGAAAAAGATCGATTTTGTGTCAGAATACCTATGTTACATCATATGTACATGAATATAACATATATTCTAAGTCGCGCTTTCGAGACTTGGTTGTCAGAAACGCATTGTAGACGGCGGGATCTACTTTGAAGGACAGTGATGTATTTATATGTAAATAATAATACAGTAATTATTATGACATCAGTCACCTAACTTTCCGGTCTCAATCTTGTAGTAAAAACCAATTTTGTTGTTTTACACAACAATTTATAAGAATAGTGTTTTTAGTGTGTTCCTGAGAGTCCCTGGACTTCGTTGCCACGATCGAGAGTTAAGTGTGCTGAAAAGTATAAAACAAGAAGCGTTGGTTCTATCTGCACGGATTTTATTTTGCAGAATTTCATTTATGCAGATTTGTTTAAGCAGCATGTCCCTACAATCATTGATTTTAAATCGCTTAGTTTGGTAATCAATCAGTAATACAAATTTTAAACTTTAACACACTGATGCGTGAAAGATAAAATTATTTTATTTTTCGAAATTTCAACATGACTGCTTTTCAATAGGCGCGTTTATTGATTAAATCTGAAATAAGATAGATAAAAATTAGAAAGATAGACAGTTAAAGATATAAATGTTTTATATTAACTAATGCCAACACATTGCTTCTAAAATACTGCTGGAATTTATTAAATTTATTAACTCGCCGAAAATATGAAGTAAACAACAAAAAAAATCGAACTTCGAGGTGCACATATGCACATACATATAACTATGTATTTATTACTGTCGGAATGTTAAATATTTGTCATCAGTCACATATTCTCTTCCATTTTTTTAGAGTTAACTCAGTTCTTATTTTCAAAATTTGGTGGATTTAGGTGCCACCATTTTTTTCCATAATGCGAGAAACAAACCTGCGCACATGTACACAATGCAGAAATTATGTGAGTAACAACAACAAACACAAATGGAAATAACTATTTCGATTTATTTACAAATGCTTCATACTTCGACATTAAATATATAATTTAAAAAAAAAAGAAAATCGATTATTTTATTAACATGTATCTTAATAGTAAAAAAAAACTATTCTTATTCCTGCAATTAAATTTAGTTATACTGAAATGTTTATTAATTTATACTAATTAAAGAACTCTAATTTTTCACAGGTGTGCTTAGAAATACATCTACTTCAAGATGATGGTAAAAATTTTATAGATTATAATTCATTTTTTTTCCGAAAAAATGTATAAAAAATATTTAAAAAATACAAACTTTAAAAATAAATCATAAAAAATGGGCGAATTTTATTTGGAATGAACCTAAATTTCGAAACGCGAAAGGAATAATTAAATAAGTTTAATAAAAAAGAGATATTAATAAATGTATACCGAATTCAATTAACAAGTGTTAAGTTATGCTAGAATTGTTATTACGTTATACTGAAGCGTTATGTTTAGTTATAGCAAAGTGTTAAGTTTCTCTACTGTTTAAATCAAGTTATACTAAAGTGGAAATAATTTTCCTTTATTAGAGTATAAAGTCTTATGAACATTAGATTTACATAAAACAAATGTTCACTGTCACTTTTATTCAAAATATTTTATGCATATTTGTATGTATAGGGCGGTCAGAAAAAAAGATAAAGAAAACTTCTCTGATATATGAACCCTTAACCGCCTATCTTTTCAACGACTCGAAATGGTTGGTGTTGGTTGGTGTTGGTGTATTAAATTATGGCAAAGCACACTAGGGCTATCTGCCTAAGGGGAGGGATGCCTTTCGTGGAGGACTTTCTAAGGGAAACTGGCTCGTATACACGTTACACATGGGGAAAACCACGAAAACGCCCATGCGGCCAGCCCGTTCGCGGGATTCGAAACTCGAACCGAACTACCAGTGTTCAGCGACTTTACCGCTCGGCCGCTGGTGGGCCGACTCGAAATGGAATTTCACAGATTGATATTTGAAGATACCCGTTCAAGATTGTGGTGAGTTAACGCAATAAATATCTCACGGTTACTCGTATGTTAAAAAAAATCGAAATTTTCGAATGGCAATACTCACTTTTCCCAACGCAAATAACAGAACCTAATATCAAAATCTGAAATTTCGTTTTTATTGGTTGCGCGGATCGGTAGTCAGACGTTCATATACTGGGGAAGATTTTTTATGGCCATACAGTATATTTGTATTTGGATATGTGAATTGTTTCTCATGTTCCAGTGTTGTAATATCTTGAGTATTCGAAATAATGATTTTAATGCAATCGCTTCCAGTTAATAATGATTGAAATATTTTAAGAACTATGCTTTCCTCTTCGCTAACTACATTCCACTTTTTTCATAATATGCTTAATATTTGCTGTCGATAAAAAGTATCATTTCTTGAATACCAAAAGCAGGTCGACTTTTTAAAAAAAACTGTGCAATGCGCGCTAGTAAAAATTCCTATTCGTTAAACTAATGTCTCGTAAAAATGCCGGATAAATTGTTAAATAAGGATAGAAAAAGTAAAAACGTAGAAATTCTCAAAATCTCAATATTCCTAAAGTAAAATAAGCAACAAATATTCTTTTTCTGTACTTAACTGCTTGCCATTCCAAATGCATCATCTTTCGTTGTCAACTGAACATTTGCATTTCTAACGTATTCAAGCGAAAAAGAAATTCAGAATTAGAAAAATTTTCGCATCATTCTTCGCTCAAACTGCAGAAATTCCAGGAAATGTAGTTAAATTATTTTTATCTAATTTCAGTTTGAAAATAAGAACTGAGTTAACTGTAAAAAAAATGGAAGAGAATATGTGACTGATGACAAATATTTAACATTCCGACAGTAATAGCAAGTGTTTAGGGCTCATTTGCTATAAAAGAGACTGAAGGAATTCGAAATAAAAGGAATTATTTCAAATAAAAATTATGGAATATAAAATAAGATCTGAAATGAAAGTTAAAATTTTATTAGAAATTAAATTAAACATTTGTTTATTTAGCAATTTTCGCTAGATTTTTTTTACCTCCATTTCAATAGCGTCCGTTAAGTTTGACATTACAACTGTAATTTAAAATTCTAGGTAATGTGTATTATGTGCGTATATGAATATATGTATCTACAGAGATGGCATAATTCCAATAAAATACACCTATATATTGGATAAAAGTAAGAAATAATTTAGATCGAACCTAAGATGTATTCATTAACCGGAATAGGAATTTAAAGCTAATTAATATTAGGAAATGCAATTTAAAACTTCAAAAGCTTTTTGTAACATTGCAGTCTTCACTCTTTCCAAAAACTAATGAAAAAAATGAAGCCAAATACTGTCAAATTATTAAATAGAGAACTTGCGAATCTTAAAGGATAAGGAAAATATAGCAAAACGTGAATATATTTAAATTTAA